GGGAAAACGGCGAGACCCAGTCAGAGGTTTGACGCGAACACCCGCTGCACGCATCCGAACACTGGACCGTCAAGACGGGCCCTGCAAGCAACGCCGGCACACCCGAGTTCCTGCGAACTCGGGTCCTACGTGCATAGCTCTTGTCGCCCAACTTCTGCCACGAGGCCACCCGGTGGCTCCAGGACGCGGCTAACGTCCAACTCCCAGGCGCCGCCGTGGTGCATCTGCCTACAGCCTGGCATGCGCTGCGGCTTGGCCCGCGGAACGGGTTCCTCGAGACTCGACGTCGTGAAAAAAAACACGTCGCCGTCCAGAAAAATCAAGACTGGAGCTCTCGACCCCGCACTTCTGCGGGACTCCCCAGGCAGGATCGGTCCGTGAAGGTCCCGGCTCAGGGACCCGGGACGAGACCAAAACAAAAATGCCCGTTGTGTTTTCCTCGACGGACGAGTGTCAGGGGAGACCGTGGCACCGCCGAGGGCAGTCAGCCAGCCGTACTTCTCCGTCTGCTCCTCCTCCCGCTGCACCTCCTCGGTGTTGCACGGGATCGTCTGGAAGTCGCCAGGGTCGCTCTGTGCCCTCAGCGCCAGGGTGGCGCAGCCCGTACTCTCTCGTCGCTCTCAGCCCGAGACCCATGCTGGCGTTGTCCCGCTCGCAGGCGATCCCTGCCGAGGTCGCTTCGAGCGGCCCCCGCCTTGCGCTCGGCCTCCGCCTTGCGCTCGCCGTCCGCCTTCCGCTCGCCCTCTGCCTTGCACTCGGTCTCCGCTTTTCGCTTGTCCTCCGCCTTGCGCTCGTTTTCCGCTTTGCATTCGGTCTCTTACACGCGTTCGGCCTCCAGTCTCCAGCTGCGCCTCGAGCTCCCCGACCCGCCGACTGAGATCACCAACCTGCCTCGCCGCCTCCGCCCTCGCCCGCCTCTGGGCCTCAAGCTGCGCCTCCAGCTCACCAACTCGCCGACTGAACTCACCGACCTGTCTCGCCGCCTCGACCCTCGCCCGCCTCTCGGCCTCCACCTGTGCCTCGAGCCGCGCCCAGGGCGACCGCTGCTCCTTGCATGGTGCCTCGGGCTCCGATGCGACTGGCAAACCATGGCCAGCACCGTCCGTGGCTGCCCACTCGCCCGAGCTTCCGCTTCCTCTCCGCTCGGCCTCCCGGGTGCATGGCGACGGGTCGAGAGTTGCTAAAAGTATCCCCGGCCCAAGGTGCCCCCAGCTCTTCGCTCCATTGTGGAGCCCCCAAGGGCCCTGTGGGCCTCATGCGGGGTGCTCTGGAGGCCGTGATGAGCTTCCTGGGAAATCATGGGGCGACCTTGGCTCGGGGACACATTCGGCAACACCCGAACAGTGGGGAACATCATTTTGCATCGAATCGAAAAATTGGATCGGATCGGAACGCGCGCCCGATCGGGCTGCGTAGGCACGGGGTTGGAATCGAACCGGATCGATTGGATCGAAGTTGGCCTTGGAGGGGAAACATGGCGTGCAGGAAAGTGGCCCGTCAGCGGCCCTGAAGGGGCCCCCAGACTGCCACCTCGCGTCCATCTGGTGACCGAGGGGTGGGCCTATGTTCCCAACCCCCCGCTTGCCTCCGCAATCTTAGGAATCAACTCCTGGGAGGTCTTCGCAAGAACGGTGAATGGCTATGGCCAGACTCAGCTGGGTTTTAAGCGGGGGATCGAAACGAAGTCGTCGCCAGTAGGCTGGATGCAATCGGCTTTCGACCACGGATCTACCAACGCCGATGCTGACTAAACCACCCAGGAATTGCTCACTTTGCAGCCATTGCTGCCCGCACGAGCCTCTAGCTCCGCGTCAGGCCCGGGATCCTGGCCCGGGCCCTCTGGCGCCACCTCCTCGCGGTGGTCGCCTTCCGCAGCCGCAGCCGGGCTGGCCCGCCAGCGGGGCCTGCCGCCCCAGGCCAACGACCTGCCGTCCCCCAAGTCCGCCAGGAACGCGGCGCACGAGCTCGCGACCCGCAAGGTGCCCTCGCTCTGCAATCGGCTCTCCTAGAAGAAGCAGTCGAAGACAACGAACAATAATAGTAGTAATGAATACAGAAACGACTGCGAATACATAACAATAACAATGGTCTTGTTATTACTACTAATACAACTAAGGGGACAAAGAAATTCAAACGAGTAAGAAGACAAGGATTTGCTCAGAGAAACAAGCTTACGGGGCTCCGCGCGGACTTATTGAATCTGCACGTTCCATAGTTTCCGACTTTTTGGGCCTCCTGGGAGGCCCACGTCGCCGGAGATGGATTCGCCTCGAAATTCTGGTCAGAACACACCCCAGGGGGAAGAACAACTCCATAATCATAAACTTACGGAGGTCCGCACGGAATGTTGGATCTGCGCTGGACCCCCTGGTGCGCTCCGCGCGCCAAGACGGGGCGCCAGCGCCGATCCAAGTAATTCGCGTTTATGCCATGATTCGTTCTTCGAAGCTGGCTCTCCAGCGTGCACTTCACCGCCGAGATGTCCCCTCCTATGAGGATCGTTTGACCGATCTCTATCCCCACTGGCGTGGCCTTGGCCTCAGTGGCCGACTCACTCACCTGGGTGGGTCATGCCAGGCACGCGCCAAGGGACGCGACAGAGGACGTGGCAAGGGACTCGGCATGGAACGGGCAGGGGAAGCGCCAAAGGACGAGCCAGGGGACGCGCCAGACGAGCCAGGGAACGTGCCACGGGACGCGCCTGTGCACGTGCCAGAGGGCGTGGCAGTGAACGCGCCAAGGAACGTGACAATGGATGCGCCGGGAGACACGCCAAGAAACGTACCAAAGGGCGTGCCATGGGACGCGCCACGGAACGTGCCAGGGGACGCGCCGCAAGCGGGCCAGGGGACGCGCAAGCCAGGGGACGTGCCAAAAGGATGCGCCAGGGAACGTGCCACGCAACACGCCAGGGGACGAGCCAGGAGACGGCCCACCCTGCTCTGTGAGTTTTTGTCCGTTCGATCCGCGCTCCCACCGCCACGATCCGTTTCAAGCCATGCTGGATCTCCCAAGGCCACGGCCCCTCGTGAATTACATTGCGTTCGCGCTCCAAGGGCGACCATCCCTCGTAAATGATGCTGCGTCCGCGGTCCCAAGGACACAATCCCATGTAACTTGTGCTGACTCCGCTCTCTCACGGACATTTAGCCCCATGGACGGGCGATTTTCGCTGGAGGCACCCTCAACAGATCATCCAGGACAAGCGTTCAGCTCAAACTCTGCACAAACAGCGGTTCGCTTAAGAGATCCTCGACAAATCCCGCCAGACCTCTGGGCGACAGGCGGTATAACGATGACTTTCTTTCCTCTTCCACAGCCCCTTCTTCCCCTTCGGGGAGGGGTTTACCCCTCCGCCGACCCCCTCCCCTGGACCTGGACGGGGAGGGCCGCGAGTCGTCAGGGCGTCCGGGACGGCCCAAGATGGCCTCCAAGATCGCTCAAGATAGCCCAACATGGCTCAAGATAGCTACCAACATGCCTCCTAGGGACCGCACCCCCTGCGCACCCCATCTAGTGTCGAGAAAGAGCCACGCTTGTCGTGCCGTGCGCGCCTGCAGCGCATAGAGACCGCACCCCCCGCGCACCCCTTCTGGTGTCGACAAGGTGCCACGCTTGCCGTGCCCTGCGAGCCTGCGACGCATAGAGGCCGCACCCCCTGCGCAACCCCTGTGGTGTTGAGAAAGTGCCGCGCCTGCCGTGCCCTGCGAACCTGCAGCGCATAGAGGCCGCACCCCCCGCGCTGTCTGCACGGTTCCCCGCTTCTGATCGCCTGCGCAAGCAGTTGTCCAGGACATTTCGCGCTGGCAATTTTTCCCCACCTCCTCCACCGAGACTGGCTCATGGCGGAGAGCGCGCGCCTGCCGAAGCGGGTGATCTTGTCTCGATACGGCGGGGAGGTGTCGGCCGCGAGGTTGCGGTGGTCGGCGGGGGCTTGGTCCGCCGGGGCGTCTGCTGTGATGCCGTCAGCAGGGCGGGGCTCGGGGAGGTAACCGGGGGGGCGGCCCGTATCCAGTCGAAGGCTGCGGGAGGCCTGAGAGGTCGATTCGTGGCACTTGGAAGACGCGCTCGAAGCGGGGGTAGACAGGCGCAGCTCAGCGTGGGCCCCGTCTGGTAGGGACTTGCACGTCCATGGGTTCAAGGCGCTGCGCCTTCGCTTTGAGGGCTGGGCCGCAGGGTCGGCGAAGATGAGAGCGTGGTCGGAGAGGGAGGTTTTCCAAGCCTTGGTGACCAGCGGCCCCGGCAGGGCATGCGATGGCGTCGATCTGCGACTCCCCCTCTCTGCCCAGTCTGCATGGGCCATCGAGCGCGACAGGGTGCTCGACGCGTCTGGCCAGGAGTGCCATCCAGGTGGCGATGCTGTCGGTATCGTCTGCTCGCGGGGCGTTCCCATGCAGGTTGATATGGCCATCCCAGAAGTTGGGCGCGTTGTCAGAGGGGGGCAGGGCGTCGCTCAGAAGTGCCAAGGTTTTGGCCTGAAGGCCAGGGGGAGGTAGACTGAGACGAAGCGGTGCGTCTTGCCGCGATGGCCTTGCCAGGGAAAAGTGTCGCGGAAGAAAGGAGGTCGCTTTGCGCGGGAAAAGAATGGCGACCCCGTCGACGCACCCGCCTGCGGGGCCAAGGTGCGCAGGGGTAGCAGCGAGGCGCCTTGCTGGGAGCACGGTCGCCCACGCTCCACATTCGTGCTCAGACCAATGTGTTTCTTGCAGTAGGGCGACGCGCCCCACCGCCGCGGCCAGCGTGGTGACGGCGAGATTGGCCTGATTGTTTTGGGCAAGCGTGCTGCGCAGATGTCTGACGTTCCAGGAGAGGCGGCGGGGTGGTTTGTTCGCCTGCCTGGGCGAAGGGGTTGGCGCGCAAAGGTCGCTCCAAGTCCGATTCGGGCGTAACGGGAGAGCCGTCAGCCTCCAGAGGGTTCCTGGCTGCATTATGAAAGGGAGGTCGGCCTCACTTGTTGCCTCGGCAAGGGCGTCCCTGGCCCGCGCCTGGGCGCGAGATCGGACTCTGGGGTTTGGTGCGCTGGGGGGGGGGCGAGCCGAGCGCTTGGTGCAGCGCCCAGCTGCCCAATGGCACTGGTTAGTCCTTGCATTGAGCTGCTTCTGCCGTCAGCATCCTGTCGGCGGCGAGCTGGCCGGCAACGTCGGGGCGGAATGGGGACCGCATCAGGGAGGCGAAGGGAAGCGTCCGTCGGACGGTCGTGAGCAGTCGGTCAAAGATGCGAATGGGTCTCGTGGGGTCTGAGTATGCGGGCCCCTCAACCTCGCATCCATCCCCCCAGGCGCGCATCAGGGGCACGAGTCTCTGCTGAAGCACAGTGGGTCGAAATGCGTGCCGATTGCGTCAAATAGCGCGCGCCCGTCGAGCCCCAGGGCATTGAGGTACTGTGCGATGCTGCTGGCCCAGGCTCTGTTTTGGAGATAGGGTGGTCTCAGGTCATGCTGACGCCCGTTGGCCAGCAGCCACCTTCCCCACGTTGCGACCGTTTGCTCAGCGTACATGGATTCGCGTTGCCGCCCAGCGTGCACCAGGGTGAGTCCTAGCTCCTAGCTGCGCGCCGGGCCATTGGACGTCTGCACCAGTAGAGTTGAGAATGGCCAAGACGCGACTTTGGACTTCTTCCAGCGTCATTAGGAACCATCGGTTGTCGCTGTCCTCCTGGTGCAACAGGTATGGGAGCAGCTGCTGGGTAGGGTGTCGTCGGGGCCACCCCTGGAGCGGGTCCACGTGGGTACTATACCGTCGTGTCGGAGGGTCCATCTACGCTCCCAAGGGGAGGGGCGCGAAAGCTCATCCTATCATCGGCTGCTGGTGGTCCGAAGGTGGCCATCCAAGTCCTGGCTCTAGGGCTGGTCACCCATGCTGATGCGTTCCGAATGGCGGCGTTTTCAATGGGTATGCCACCAAGGGCCTCGAGCATGGCGTTGCAGTGGACGTCTTCCATGGGGTAGTCGTTTTCGACCACTACATGGAGGTCGGGTCGAATCTGGGTGCCATCCAAGCTGCCAGCGGAATGGCGAAGAAATGCCAGGACAATCGCCCTACGAGTCCGTCTCGTCCGTGCAAGGTGCCAGCAAGGGACAAATTGTTGCAGGGCCTTTCTCCAAGTATGAGGAGGAGGGAGACGGGTGGGAGGTCGGGGAGAAAGTCAGCCCAACGAGTCGACCAGGTATGGATTCTCCCATCCGGATCGGATCGGGGTTGCTTTATAAAGAGGTCCCAGACGTCAGCTGAGATGATGTGATGGGCTGTGCCTCCGTCCAGTCTGTTGGCCACTGGGTCCTGCGGTGGAGCTCCCTACGGGACCACGAGAAAAATGCGAGGGGTGTACCAAAATGGGGTGGCGCCGCTGTGCGAACCCTTCCATTGGGGCCTTCGGAGGAGTCCCACCTGCCCTTTGGGCGTGAGTGGTTTAGAGAGCCCGCTCTGTTCCCAACCCCCCTTCTGACACTTCGGGGAGGGGTTTACCCCTCCCCCTACCCCCTCCCCTGGACCTGGAGAGGGCGGGCCGAGTGGTGGCAAGGGGATCTTTTTCGACTCCTGGGAGGGCCAAAAAACGACTACCCTCACGAGGATTCTGGCCCCGACGGGGGGACGCAGTTTGGCCCCGCTGCTCTTCTTGGAAGCCAGAATCATTGATTTTACTACGGTTTTGGCCCCATTTTGGAGTCCTGAGGGGGCCGCGCTCATCGTCCTTCATAGCAAAACTATTGATTGTACGAAGGTTTTGGGCTCATTTTGTCCTTCTCAGGGGGCAGCGCTCCTTTGCGCTTCAGAGGAGGTCGCAAGAGGCCCCAAGATGGCCCCAAGAGGCCCCCAGGAACCTCCCAAGAGGCCTCCAAGAGGCCCCCAAGAGGCCCCCAAGAGGCCCCAAGAGGCCCCCAAGAGGCCCCCAAGAGGCCCCCAAGAGGCCCCAAGACGCCCCAAGAGGCCCCCAAGAGGCCCCCAAGAGGCCCCTAAGAGGCCCCCAAGAGGCCCCCAAGAGCCTCCAAGAGGCCCCCAAGAGGCCCCACGAGGAGCCCGAACGACTCACACCAGGACGAGGGGCCCGAACAACTCACACCACGAGAAGCCCGAACGACTCACACCAGGACGAAGAGCCCGAACGACTCACACCACGAAGAGCCCGAACGACTCACACCAGGAAGAAGGGCCCGAACGACTCACACCAGGACGAGAAACCCCAAACGACTCAAACCACGAGGAACGTTTTCTCTCCCTCCTCCTCCGCCTCGTCCTTCTCCCGCTCCCACCACAAGGAGGATGTACAAGGAGGCTGGAGGAAGGAGGAACAGGGGAGATATGCGGGGGCAGGCGGAAACACGCCCGAAAAACACGACTGTCGGCATGCTTCGCAAGAGTTGCTGTTTTGAGACGGGCTGGTGGGGATACGCGAAGCGTGAAGAATTTCCTTATGGGGCCACGACCAGAATGGGGCGGCGCCGCCATGCGAACCCTGCCAGTGGGGCCTTCGGTGGAGCTCCCTATGCCACGAAACGTGTGAGGGGTGTGCCAAACATGGGGCGGCGCCGCCATGCGAACCCCGCCACAAGGAGCTTCAAGGGACCTCCCTGATGGTGACGATGACGGTGACGATGATGACGATGATGATGACGATGCCGATGATGCTGATGACAATGGTGATGATGATGATGATGATGATGATGATGATGATGATGATGATGATGATGATGGTGGTGATGATGATGCTGTTGCTGATGATGATAGCTGATGCTGATGATGTTGACGACAATGATGGCGAAGATGCTGACGACACAGATGGTGCTGATGATGAGGGTGATGGTGATGACGATGCTGATGATGATTGCAATGTTGACGATGATGATGCTGATGGTGACTATGATGATGATGATGGCAATGGTGGTGGTTGCGATGATGATGATGATGAGGATGAGGATGATGGCGATGCTGACGAGCCTGATAATGATCATGATGATGACGATGACGGAGGCGACGATGATGATGGTGATGATGCTGATGATGGTGGTTATGATGGTGGTGATGATGATGATGGTGATGGTGCTGATGGCACTGATGATGTTGATGATGCTGTGGATGATGAGATGCTGATGATGATGATGATGATGATGATGATTATGATGATGATGATGATGATGACGATGATGAAAATGATGATGCTGATGGGGATGCGGATGCTGATGTTCATGATGATAATGATAATGATGATGATAATGATGATGATGATGATGATGATGATGATGATTCTGATGATGATGATGATTCTGATGATGATGATGATGATGATGATGATGATGATGATGATGATGGTGGTGGTGGTGATGATGATGATGGGAGGAGGAGGAGGGGGTGGAAGAAGGCGGGAGGAGGAGAACGCGGGGCGCTGTCCCATCAAAAAGAAGACCCAACACCACAAAACAACTGGGGAAACAATCCCTGGACATTGTTATTCAATTCGGAATCTGCGCAAAACGCTCCGCACCTTCTGTTCTACAAAGGAACACGGGGCCCGCGGACCCCGTAGGCATCGAGGGTCCGAGATGGGGGGTGCACTTGTATCGAGCATGCACGCGCGAAACGCAATATTTCCATCCAGGCTGTGACTTTACATTGTTTCTTTCGCAAAAAAGTTGCTGGCCCTCTTCAAGCATGGCTCTGGCTGCAGAGTGCCATCCTACAAGAAAACCCTGGGCCCCAGCCCTTTCTGGGAAGATGATCGACCCACGGACCCAGAAATGAATTTAGAAAGGTGAGGGCATGGCCACGTTTTCAAGGCACCTGACTGGGCCACAGGCAATTACAATCCTGGAAGTATCGATCGTGATGTACCGTGCCCAGGACTGTGCTGTGCTGTGCCGTGCTGAAATGAGGTGTGTCACGCCGCAATGAATTACGTTATGCTCAATAGCGTCGTGGATCAAGTCGCCCTTGGCAGCCGAATCCTGACCGAACTGATTTGGATCTTAAGCTCGAGTTCCTGAGCGCAAAGCTGGCCCAGAGCTGGTTGCAGTCGATACGTGTGGAACGCTCGATCAGCTCGAACTCAAGATCCGACCCAGTTCCGAAGCGAGACGAGACGACACGGGGCGCAGGGCGCATGGACGGGCCACAAAAAAGGGCAAGGGGACGTGGCAAGGGACGCGCCACGGAACGGGCAGGGAAAGCGCTAGTGGACAAGCCAGGGAACGCGCCGAGAGGGGAGGGGCATACGCCGTCCCGCTCAGGGGCGTTCGAACCCACGTATTTTCAAGCTTGTCCCGCTCTGGGGTGTTAGGAACCTATGTATTTTCAAGCTTGTCGCGCTCTGGAGCGTTAGGAACCACATGTTTTCATGCTTGTTCCGTTCTGAGGCATTACGAATCCACGTGTTTACAAACGTGTCCCGCTCTGGGGCGTTCGGAGCCCATCTGCTTGCACGTTTGTCCCGCTCTGGGGCGTAAGGAACCATGTGTTTTCACGCTTGTTCCGCTCTGGGGCGTCAGGAACTTACGTGTTCTCACGCTTGTCCCGTTCTGGGACGTTAACCTATGTGTTCTCACGCTTGTCCCGCTCCGGCGCGTTAGATACCCACGTGTTTTCACGCTTGTCCCGCGACTGGGGCGTTAGGAACCGAAGCGCTGTTACGCTTGTCCCGCTCTGGGGCGTTAGGCACCTATGTGTTCTCACGCTTGTCCCGCTCTGGGGCGTCAGGAACCCACATATTTTCGCGCTTGTCCCGATTGCGGGCGTTAGGAACTCATGTGTTTCCATGCTCCCCGGGCCACGATCCCTCGTACATGACGGTCCAACCGCACTCCCAGGCCGTTCAAGCGCTGCATTTCCCTCGAGACATCCCCAGATATTGGGCGTAGGGCGCGTCATCCTCGTCAAGGAACCTGCGCACAGGTCGCGCCGTCCTCGAGTGGTCACGCGAAAAGTCAGCATGTTTTATGCATGTAAAATTTGAAGGTCTCCGAACCACGTTAGTTATCAAGATTCTGGGCAAAACGCTTTGACCCTGCTTTTTGTTCGAAGGAAGGCGGAGGTCTGCGGAACCTGTTACTCATCGAGGATCCGAGATGGGGGGACACACTTTTCTCGAGCGGGCACGCGCGAAACGCAGTCAAAACACACAGCATGGCACTTCACATGGCTTTTATCGCAAACAATTTCGCTGGCCGTCTTCAAGTCGTGGCCGGGGGTAAAACCTATAAAAAGAGAACCCTGGGCCCACGCCCTTCCTTGGACAAAAATGGAAGCAGGTTAAGGGCAGCGGTATCGGGTAGCGGTACTCTTTTCCTCCTCTGAGGTCGGGCTGAGATACGGTGGCCCAGTGGGGATGGAGACAGGTTGGACGATGCTGATCCTAAGGTCTGGTGGCCCCAGGCCACCACCTCTCGGGTCTTCGTCTGCGCCAGGAACGCGCCGCGAGTGCTCCAAACGCGCTCGACACCCTTGCGCTCGAGCTCCGCCCGGACGCCGGAGATGTCGGCGCCGTAGGCCTCATTGCCCCAGGCGACCACCTGAGCGACGAAAAGAAACAAGTCTTACACGAGAAGACATAGCGGCCTTACACTGCAGCTTACGCGGGCCGTCAGCGCGGCACGCTATATTGGAACCGTAGGCGCTTACGCGGGACCTTGCGCGGGCAGCTTACGCGCGAATGTCCCCGCAGTCGACACCGTTGTTGTGCGTCGCTCACCTGGCCATTCGCCAGAACGGCTAGGAACGCTGCCCCAGTGGTCCAGACGTCCAGAACGCCCTTCTCCTTCAGCTCCCAATAGACCGCCGAGATGTTGGCCCCGTACTCCGGGTCTCCCCAAGCGACGAACGTGCCATTGTTGAGCGCCGCAAGGAAAGCCCTGCAAGTGCCCCACACGCGCTGAATGCCATGACTCTCGAGCTCCCTCTTAACTATCTGGATATCCGCCCCGTTACGATCGCTCCCCCCAGCTACCACAGTGCCGTCTTTCATCTGCGCCAGGAATGCGTCGTCGGTGGCCCAGATGCGCTCGGCGTCCAACTCAGCCTTCTTGCTTGCGATGTCTATTTGACAGGTTTGCTCTCCTTGGCGGTGGGCAGAGTTGGTCAGCAAGAGGGGGGGTAGCCTTCGAAGAAAGCAGAGGCTTGTTAAATGGCACCGCCTTCTCGAAGATCCTGCTCCACCCACGCACGCACCATCTGGGAGGGAGGGCCCCCTTAGAATCCAGACCCTCGACGTCCTGATACTCTCAGTGCCTGGGGCGGCGATCGACGCCGACACTCGTGGGGATCCCACGCCGTGTGGTGCTTCTTTGTTGGCCCTGGGGCCCCGGACGGGCCTCCAGAGGCCCACACTCAGAATAGCCCTGACAATGGTGTGCTGCGTTTTTCTCAAGACGCTGGAGGTCTCCCCCGAAGGCCCCCAAGAGGCCCAAGGAGGCCCCCAACATGCCTCCAAGAGGCTCCCAGGCAGCTCCCAGGAGGCCCCAAAGAGTGCCCCCAGAGGCTCCCAAGATGCCCACTCCTCCTCCTCCTCCTCCTCCTCCTCCTCCTCCTCCTCCTCCTCCTCCTCCCCCTCCTCTCCTCCTTCTCCTCCTCCTCCTCCTTTTCCTCCCCCTCCTCCTCCTCCTCCTCCTGATCTTCCCCGCAATCCTCCCCCAAGTGTTCTCCGAAGGGTTTCCACAACGGTTGGGGGAACACATGGCCCGATAGCTTGGCAAAGCTCTTGCCAGAACGCTCGGACACATGTGCGATTTCAACCTCTTGCTCCCCCACGCGTTCCCCGAAGGCTTTCCAAACCGACTCGGGGAACAACTGGCCCGATTGCTTGGCCAAGCTCTAGCCCAGCTGTCGGCCACATCGGCGCTTCCACAAGGGCAGGGGGCGGCGGTGATTCGCCGTAGGCGTTTTCGATAACGCAAACGTCCCGATTTGCGCTGATGATTTCAGTCCGCCCCCGCATGATTTTTCCAGATGCGCCAAGGCAGCGCCGAGACGCACCGACGCGACCCTGATATATCCCGATCTTGTTGTTGGAGAAGAAGGAGGGGCAAGCAGAAGGGGCGATCGCAACAGCTCTCGAGTCACCTGTGCACTCTGTGACGACACGCGGCAGAGATTGACCAGCAGCTTCATTTACAACAACATCCCATGATTAAAGAAGCGCGGGCGAGCAGAGCTGAAGTGGCCGGCCGGGCAAACGTCACCACATTCAGGGGGAAGGGGAAGAGGAGGGGGACGAGGAAGAGGAGGGGGAGGAGGAGGAAGAGGAGGACCAGACGTCAAGCAGTCCTGATCCGCCACACGAACCTACCTGCAGTAGGCAAGCCCGTGCACATATCAAAACCCAGGAAACCAACTGGGGCGTGCCATGTGCATGTATCCCCCAAGGCCTGCACAGCCGATGCTACTTCCCACAACGAGCACACGAGGACGAGGGGAGAGGAGGAGGAAAAAAGACCACGAACGGCCGACAAATCACCGCACTGATGGCGGGCAAGGCGCGAAGCCAAGAAAGTAGCGAAATACCTGACTGACATCACCACGGAAGAGGGAGAAAAGGGAGGGAGGAGGCGACGGCCTGTCAATTACCCACGCTGCCGGCGGCGAGCCGTGCGGAGTAGCGACTCTGAAGCAGGGTGCCCGCGCGCGCCCTCCCGCAGCATGGCAGGAAGAGCCTCCGCAGCCCCGGCCACGCGCAGCGTCCCTGTGCGGACCGCGGCCTGCACGCGGCAAACAGCATACACGGTGAGAGCTCGCGACAGCCGGGCCCGCGCACGTGTTCCCGCACCGCCGCGCCTGCTCAGGGTCGATGGCTCGAGGTTTCAGAAGCACGCCAGCTTGTCTTCGGCGGCTGGGGCGGCCAGTCTGGCATGGACAGCGCAGAAGCGATGGTACGTCGCACAACGACTATAATGCTCGATGCTGTCCTCGCCGCGCTGGCACCCCAGTAAGCAAACGGCGCGTTGCTGGAACCGGCGCGCCGTGCACCAGCCGTTGAAGGCTGTCCGGACGAAAGCCGCTGCTACCCGCGGCGTGCCTCCGGTGCTGAGCGCCCGGCCGGCAGCAACCAGCCTGGCAGGGCGCCGCCCAGGTGGGAGAGACAGCGGCCAGCGATCCAGGCGTTCGCGAGCATGTGGGAGTGCTTCGGAAACGCGCGGGCGCAAAATCGCCACGGCCTGGCGCTGCCAGGTACGCCTCGTCTCCTCGTCCAAAGGGTCCGCAACCATCAGGGAAATCGAAACGCCCTTCGAACGCTCTGCTGCCGAAGGCGCGTCCGCCGCCTCGACGAGCCTGCAAAGCGCGCAGCTCCGTATCCAGGAGCACAAGCGGAGACTGACGTCGTCGGCGTTATGCAATCGCCCCAACAACTGCTGGAGACGGCCTTGCGCCCGGAGCCCACCGTTCAGGCGGTCCTCGTACACGTAGGTCCTGGCAGCGGCAGCGGTCGAGCACGAAACCAAGGAGGCGAACGCGCAACTAATGCCAAAGTCCGTGAGTGACTGGAGTACGCTGGCCGTGATCCACTCCGACGGCCCGGGCACTAGCCAGAGGAGCGCCTGCGACTCCTGCTGCAGGACTTTCGCTGGGACTTGCTCCAGCTGGGCCACAAACGAAAGCACGCTGACGATGTACACCCGGTAGGCAGCCGCCGTGAGGCGGAGTCCCGCGCCGATCGCCTTCCAGATCTCGACGCGCTCGCAAAACTTCCTGAGTGGAGTGCTCCATGAGAGCTCGCCACGGCCCGGGCCCACCTCAAAACCAAGGTAACGAGCGTGAAGGGCGATCCCGATCTGACCCCACCGAGGGACTCGCTCCGCGATGGCGGAACGCAATGCCAGCAGGTCGACATCAAAGAGAGGGACAACCACAGTCTTCGAGATGTTGAGGCCGAGGCCGGAGATGCTGGCGAATTCCACGAAGATCTCAGCCAACGCAACTACGGAGCGAAGCCCGTCGTGGAGTAACACCGCCGTGTCGTCTGCGTGCGCGCGCCGAGTCGAATTGCAGAGCAAGTCAGAAGCCGCTGCCAACAGCAATGGCGATAGAGGACAGCCCTGGCGGACTCCCCGCGTGGCAACAAAGCCCTCGAAGAGCGCGCCGCCGAACGCGATCATGCAGACATTGTTGTCGTACAACACGCGCAAGTACTGCAGAAGCCACTCTGGCCGGCGCAGAGGGCGAAGCCATTACGGATAAAGGTTCGAGACGTCCTCGATAATTCGGCGCGCAGCACTTGCCGTCTTCGAACGGGCACGCAAACGAATTAATATGCTTCAGTTCTCTTAAGCAAAACCCCTCCAGGCTTCGATATGTATCACGGAATCAGCGCAGAACGCTCCGCACCCGATTTTTATTAGGGACAACGGTGGTTTGCGGACCCGTCAGGTATCGAGGATCCGACACGGGGGGCGTACTTTCATCGAGCGGGCAAGCGCGAAACTATTTTCTATGCAAAATGAAACTCGCCCTTGTTCTTTCAATCGAGCGGAAATCCGCTCGCCCATGGCGAACTTGTCACATGGGACAAATTTACCAATTACACAAAAATTGTGCCCCCCCCCCTTTCCGGGAAAGACCTCCCCGCACCCAAAACCTCACACGTGTCTGCCCTTCCTGCTGGCCGGAACCAGTGCTGGGCCACCCCAGACCCCCAGACAGCTCCAAACCTCCTCCTCCTCCTCCTCCTCCTCCTCCACCTCCTCCTCCTCCTCCTCCTCCTCCTCCTCCTCTGAAACTTCTGCCCGTGGCTGGTCTCCCCACGCCACCAGCTCGTCGTGGTGGAGCCTGGCAGCGTGCGCCTCGCTGTCTGGCGTGGTGGGCGCGGAACTCGACACGATCACCGCGCCCCCAGCGGCGGCCATGACCCTGCAGCCCTCCGACCCCCCGAGGTGTCTGCATGCACCTCGAGCCTGGAACGGCCAGGAGGAGAAAAAGGAGGATACAGGCCTCCTAGACAGGGTCTGAGCTGAAGGGGTCGCAGGATCGCGCCACATCGCCGAGGCATCGTCGATGCATCGGCACCGTCGGCATGGAGAAAATCGGCTCCACATCTAGCCGCGTCGCCGATGCATCGGCGACGCCGCGCTACCCTACCCCGTCCACTCAGACCTCATTTGGGGGGCCTTGACAAGAGCAGGAGGGAGGCGGCGGAGGCAGCGGCGGCGGACGGCGTTTCGGGACGATTGTCCGCGGTCAGCGTTCAGCGCTGCCTCCTTACCCCAAGGAGGCAGCTGAAAAACCCTCTTGTGTATGGGGTCCTCGTTTGAATTCGCACCACCGCGCGTCTCCTCTCCTCCTCCTCCTCCTCCTCCTCCTCCTCCTCCTCCTCCTCCTCCTCCTCCTGCTCCTCCATATCTCCTCCATATCTCCTCCATTCTTCCTTTTCACTCCTGCCTCCACTTCTTCATCATCCTTTTCGCTCTTCCCACCACCACCACCATATCGGCACACCCCTCACACGCTTCGTGGCGCCGTAGGGAGCTGCGTCAAGGCCCCAGGCCCAGTGGCAGGGGTCGCATGCGTACTCGGGTCCATTTCGGCACATCCCTCACGCGTTTCGTGGCCCCATGGGGGGCTCCACCGAAGGCCCGAGTGACTGAATTCGCTGCGTAATCGGGTCCACTCTGGCGCACCCTTCACACGCTTAGTGGCCCCAGACGAGCTCCACCGAAGGCTCCAGTGGCAGGGTTCGCATGCGTACTCGGGTCCATTCTGGCGAACCCCCATTAACGTTCCGCGGCCCCACAGGCAGCTCCACCGAAGGCCCCGGTGGCAGGATTCGCATGCATATCCGGGTCCATTCTGGCACACACACACACACACACCTCACACATTTTGTGGCCCCATGGGGAGGAGCTCCACCGAAAGCCCCGGTGAGAGTGTGTGAATGTAGCGGTTTTAAACGTAGTTATCAGCTTCTTGGCGAAGCACTCCGGGGTACCATGTGTATATATATACACACATACATACATATGTATATATAGATGTCAGAACCATCGCGCGCGCGCGCGCTCAAGTTCTAGCGAGGCTTGACCGGCTAACTCATGCCATCTCATTTGGGTCGCTTCTTGCGTCCAAAGACTCCCTTGGAGGCCCTGCGCGAACCTCGGGATCGCATAAAAGGGGAAACGCGGAAACGCAGAAATTATAAATTTCCGAATTTCCTTTCGGTATTCAACGATTTGGGGCCCTCAAAGGCTTCCTGGGTTCTTTTTTGGGAGGTGAGGGGGGCTCGTTCCCCTCCCCCGAACCGCCGCCCTCCTTAGGAGGGCGCCCGCGCCTCCTCACCGCATGGATGGGCCACGTGCCGGGGGCCGGACCCCCTTCCCCCGCGCCCCCCCAACGCGGCCAGCAAGAAACCCGCTAGAAAAAGCGCGGCTTCCGCAATGGGGGGGGGAAGCGGGTGCGCCGCGGCGACGGCCCACGGCTGCCGGTAAGCCCGCGGCGGGCCCAAAAGGCCCAGTGGGCTGGCGGGTTGCCGCGTTGGGCATTGCATGTGCCTCCCCGCGTCCTCCGTGCGCCCCGACCGTGAACGTTCTTTGTCGCGGCAGCGCCGCAACGCAAGCGCGCGGCCGACCGAGGGGCGCACCCCGATCCCTAAAACCAGCGGAGACCCAAGTGTGGCATGACCAACATGTCATTGCGCTGAAAATTCAGATGAACATGTTTTTGTTGAGTCGAGAAGGGTTGATTCGGTATTCTGTGTGATACGCAATGCTGGTACATCGATACTGTGCACATGCATTGTGTCAAGGTTTGGCTTTCAGACGCAATGGAGGGCCATGATCCCCTCCCTACCTAGGCTCTGCCTAGAGGGTTCTTACTTTCTCTCTCTCTCTCTCTCTCTCTCTCTCTCTCTCTCTCTTAAAAAGGCTGGGCAGTGCACACCGCCCCGGGCGGTTCCCCCAGTATTCGCCCCGGGGCTCCCCAAGCTACACCCCCTTAGCTTAGCGTTGCTTATCTCATCTTAACTTAACCTATTTCATCTTAGCTTCGCTTAGCGTAGCTTCATCTTAGCTCAGGTTTATCTTAGCTTAGCTTATATTCATCTTAGTTTCGCTTATTTCACCTTCGCTTAGCTCAGGATTATCTTACCTTAGCTTAGCTCCGTTAGCATGGGTGTACTTCCCTACCTAGGTTCTGCCTGAAGGGCTAGCTTAGCTTAGCTTAGTTTAGCTTAACTCAGCATCGCGCAGCGCTGCATGAGCATCTTATAACATAACATGGCCAAGCATAGCATAGCATAGCACAGCATATCATAGCACATCATATCGCAGCATAACATAGCATAACATAGCAAACCGCAGCTTAGCATAGCATAGCATCGCATAGCATAGCAAGTCATGACATATCATAGCTTAGCGTGTCATATCATAACGTAGAATAGCGCAGCATAACATAGCATAGTATAGCATAGCGCAGCATCGCATGGCATATCACAGCATAGCATAGCAACGAATGCTGCTTTCCTAAGGGCTCCAACTTCTAGGTAGGGTCGCACTGGGGTAATGGATTGCTTAGCATTACAAGCATTCGTTAGTGCTAAGGATTAACGCGTTGCTTGTCAACGAAAGCGACGCTTCGTTAAGCAGGATTCTCTCGTTGGGCCTTGAAAAAGGCAGCCTTCGAGCGCTACGGTAGAGCTGCTCGGCATTGCTGGCGGGCCCTTCGCCCCAGTGCTCGACGGGCTCAAATTTCTTGTTAAGCGGCAGCACTAGCTCGTGGACGCGGAGGAGCTCGGCGGGGATGCTTGGGAGGGCATAGCCGAAACGCTCGGCGTAGGAGCCGTGGGTGAGCTACTTGACGCCCTCGGCGCCGAGCTCCACGTCTCTCTTCTTGGCGATCCCCTGCTGCCCGGCATGAGCCAGGAGGTCCTCGGGCGGCTCTCCGCGGTTCTCGAAGATGTCGCACGCGCGCTCGTCCTTCTCGCAGTAGATCTCGTAGGACACCGCCGCGGCCAGCTCGCTGCGCCTCTTGTCATTCTCGCTGAAGATGCGGCCGTGCTCGATGCTCTTGCGGGACCCGCTTCGGCACGCCATGTCGAGCCAGCTTGATGGGCGCTGCTTGGGCGCAAGGCGCTCTCGGCCTTGAAATGGCAGCTCGCCGTCCTCGGGCGCTGCTTGGCCATGCGCTCGAGAATATCGCTGGAGCTCTGACTCGGGGTCGCGACGCACCTGGGGGCCTCGACGGGGGCGCTCGCCGCCGCGGCGCGCTCGGCGGGCTGGGACATCGCCGGGGCTTTCGACGCGCTCACGGGGCAACGACGTGGGGGGATAGGCGCTGGGGGGGGGGGCGTCGACCTGGAATCGGCGACGCGTCGCCGATGCATCGGCGACGCGCGCCCAATCGTGCATCTGCGCTTTCTTGGGCAGGTTCGGCACGCCTACCCCCCCCTATCGCTGCCCCTGGGGCGAAGAGGCTCGGCGCCTCGAAGAGGCCTAAAATCTTGGAGTCTCGGGGGCCCGGGGAAGCTCGGGCCCGGGCAGTTGCGGCGGCAGAGGACGGGAGGAGGGGGAGGAGGAAAAGGGGGAAGAAGGGAAAAAAGGGGGGGGAGGAGGGGCTGCAAACCGCGTGAAGGGTGCGCAAAAATCACTTAACTCCAATGCTCTGCCTGCTCGAAGAAACGCATGCGCGATCAAAATCCAATCGGCCCCTATGGCCCTGCCGCGCGTTCCTGATTCGGGAGCGGCCATGGAACAATGAGAACCCCATGGCCCTGCCGCGCGTTCGTAAAGTGGGCAAACTAAACTGGCGAGAATCCCGCAGCCCTGCCACGCGCCCGCGATTGCGGAAAGACCGCCGCGGCCATGCTCAGCGTTTTTGACGCCGTTGCAAGTCAACATGATATGATGGCAACTTCGATCCGCATCCTTCCCGTGATATTATGAAGTTCGGCCTCAGCGCCCTTCTCCACAATTAAATCCTGTTGGGCGGGGGTCATAAAAATAGAGGGGGCGAGCGCGCGCGCGCTGGGGGCGGGGGGGGTGCTTCATTGCCGCCCGCGCTCGGTCATTGGCGCTCTATTAATGTGCCCCTTGGGGCCCTCCTGGGGCTCTTTGGGGGCCTCTCGGGGCCGCTGGGGGGCCCCTTAGGGCCCCCTCGGGGACCTCTTGGGGCCTCCTGGGAGCCTCCGGGGCCGAAGGCTCGGAATTTGAATATGGGCGCGCACCTCTGGGGCTCGTCCTGGGGCTCTCTCCGGCTGTCTTGGGGGCCTCTCGGGCCGTCTTGGGGCCCTCTTGGGGTCGTCTTAGAGCCCTCTTGGGGGCGCGCGGGGCAGTCCTGGGTGCCTCTTGAGCCGTCTTGGACGCAGTGGGCGCCCGAAAGACAAGCGCGCCCAACATGTTAATTTCCCCGTAGGACATCGGCGATTTTTGATTATTGTGCCTCTCTCGGGGTGCCGCTTGGGGCGTCTTCGGGGCCATCGGGGGCCTTCTTGGCGTCGCGGGAGTCGTCTTGAATGGCGCGTGGAGCCAGCGCCGCGGCCTCCTGGGCCCCCCCGCAGCCCCTCGAGGCCCCGTTGGTCCTGGGCCGCCGAAACCTCGTGAAACAAACAAAGAAAACGACGCCCTGTCTCCGCATTTGCGGTCGCGGTCGCGGCCCTCGCCCCCCGGGCCCGGCCCCCTGTGTTATATATATATATATATATATATATATATATATATATGTATATATGTATGTATCTATATATATATATACAAGATTTGAGGGCTCGCTTCGCTTCGCCTCAATCTTGGTCCTGCGCCCAGGAACAACCGAAGAGTGGGTGACTGAGGTACAGCAGCAAGCACGTCCTGACCATGAGAGGGGTCGCGGTCATTTTCTCGGGGGGGGGGGGCTCAAGCATTCCAGAAAATGACAGAAGATGCGACTCGTCGGAAACGTGATTGTGGGCCTTGGGACTCAAGCATTACAGAAAATTACAGAAGATGCGACTCGTGGGCATCCAAAATGTGGTTCGGGAGTGGAGTTTTGGGAGCTCGCGGAGCACAGAGTGGCCTACAGGTGGCTCTGGGTATCTAAAATGTGGTCTGGGAATCGTGTTCTGGGAGCTCTTAGAGCACGAAGTGGCCTACAGTTGGCTCCAGGTATCCCAGATGTGGTCCGGGAGTGGTGTTGTAGGAACTCGAAGAGCACGAAGTCGCCTACAGGTGGCTCCGGGAAACCAAAAATGTGGTTTTGGAATGGTGTTCTGGGAGCTCGAAGAGCACGAAGTGGCCTACAGGTGGCTCGGGGCATCCCAAATGTGGTTCGGGAATGGGGTTCTGGGAGCTCGAAGAGGACGAAGTGGCCTACAGTAGTGTCGGGGCATCGAAAAAGTTGTTCGGGCATGGGATTTGTGGAAACGTGGAGCACGAAGTGTGTGACGATTTGCTGTAAGCGAGCGCGGCCGTCGCTGCAACCGCTGTTATGTCAAAAGGGCAGGATATTTTGCCAGGTGGTCAGGAATCTTGTTCGCACGCGTGGAACAAACACGGGTGCCAGCGCGGACGTGTGCCGCGGGGGAAGAACAGAGAAGTTCGGCGCACAGAGCGCGACAGCACGTGTGGAAACGGCGTGATGCAGTATCGGATAGAAGAAGCGTGCGAAAAAGAAGTGGGTAGTAGGGAATTGCAGAGCGATGTGAAATGGGGGAGGGCAAGAGGAAACACGGGAGCAGACGACTCAGAGAGGAAGGAGGAGAAACTGGAGAGCGGGAGGAGGCGCGAACGGCGTGGCTGGGAGGCAAAAGTGCCGGCGGCGCCAGGGCGAGTCAGCGCGCCATGTCTGCGACAGAAGGGTTGGGAAGGTAGAAGAACGGGAGCAGACGATGCAGAGAGGAGGGAGGAAAGGATGGGAGAGGGAAGGGAGAGGAGCGGCGTGGCAGCAGGGCATATGTGGCCGCGGCAGCCCGGCAAGATCCAGGGCGCCGGGCTGGCCCAACTAAACATGCGCGGGCCGCGGAGTCAATGTTATGCCTGAGGATGCGCGCTGTCGTTGCACGGCGCGCCGTCGAAGGACATCAGGGGTCGCGGGCTGATCGGCGCACCGCGCCGAAAGCCAGCAGGGAGGCCTGGCGCTTCGCAGGCGGCTCCCCCACGACGCTCTTCTTCATCAGCGGCGCGTGGCTGGTGGTCCGTGGCGCGCACATCAAACTGCCGCTCATGGAGGAGGGGTCTGGCGCGGCCAAGCCGGTGCGGAACCGGCGCGAAGTTGCTCGGGCATGGGATTTGTGGAAACGTGGAGCACGAAGTGTGTGACGATTTGCTGTAAGCGAGCGCGGCCGTCGCTGCAACCGCTGTTATGTCAAAAGGGCAGGATATTTTGCCAGGTGGTCAGGAATCTTGTTCGCACGCGTGGAACAAACACGGGTGCCAGCGCGGACGTGTGCCGCGGGGGAAGAACAGAGAAGTTCGGCGCACAGAGCGCGACAGCACGTGTGGAAACGGCGTGATGCAGTATCGGATAGAAGAAGCGTGCGAAAAAGAAGTGGGTAGTAGGGAATTGCAGAGCGATGTGAAATGGGGGAGGGCAAGAGGAAACACGGGAGCAGACGACTCAGAGAGGAAGGAGGAGAAACTGGAGAGCGGGAGGAGGCGCGAACGGCGTGGCTGGGAGGCAAAAGTGCCGGCGGCGCCAGGGCGAGTCAGCGCGCCATGTCTGCGACAGAAGGGTTGGGAAGGTAGAAGAACGGGAGCAGACGATGCAGAGGAGGGAGGAAAGGATGGGAGAGGGAAGGGAGAGGAGCGGCGTGGCAGCAGGGCATATGTGGCCGCGGCAGCCCGGCAAGATCCAGGGCGCCGGGCTGGCCCAACTAAACATGCGCGGGCCGCGGAGTCAATGTTATGCCTGAGGATGCGCGCTGTCGTTGCACGGCGCGCCGTCGAAGGACATCAGGGGTCGCGGGCTGATCGGCGCACCGCGCCGAAAGCCAGCAGGGAGGCCTGGCGCTTCGCAGGCGGCTCCCCCACGACGCTCTTCTTCATCAGCGGCGCGTGGCTGGTGGTCCGTGGCGCGTACATCAAACTGCCGCTCATGGAGGAGGGGTCTGGCGCGGCCAAGCCGGTGCGGAACCGGCGCGTTCGAAATTTGCCGCTGGCCGGCACCGCCAGAGCGCCTCCCTGCAAGACGTGCCGTATCTCGCCCACGCGGATCAGGAGGCCGTCGTTGTGCAAGGCCTTGGTCGCCTTCACGGATTCGCACGTCCAGTGCTCGGTGTTGTTGAAGCTGAGCGTGGGGCCTGGGAACTCGAGGCCCTGGAGTTCCGGGCGCGTACGGAGGTGGTCGATCAGGCGAACGCCGAGGTCCTGGCCCTGGGCAGAGCTCCATGTTGCAGGGAATTCCACGGCCGGGTAGGCGAGGCGGAGGTAGGAGTAGCAACTGGGACCCACGGCTCGCATCTGAGAGGCGTCGCAAATCACGTCAGGACAGTCGAGACACATCTGCCAGGCGTGGAAGTGGCTCGTCCCGCCGATGGACATGAAAAAATGCCAGAGACGGTCGGTCGTAGTCATGCTTGGCCACTGGCGGGCCGCGGTCTCCGTCATACTGAATGTGACGGGGGTGCCGGGCTTCTTCTCGGAGGTCTTCAGGAGTACGCGCGCAGTCTGTGCCAGGTCGTCGGGAGCCCCGTCGAGGAACCCTCGCGGCAGAGAGTGCAGGAGGTCCCGGACGGCGATGATGCGCATGCGGAGCTCGATCTTGCTCTCACCGTGGAGGATGCCGTCACCGAGGCTAGTGTTGTCGAGCAGGTGGTCCAAGGCGTCTGGGTCGATGGTGTAGCCACGATCGTACTTGAGTCTGTGAGGGCCTTCCAGCAGGGCGCACACGGCGTCTAAAGAGTACGTCTTGCGGCCGATGTACACGAGCCAAAGATACTCAGGCCAACTTTTGGCTGCAGAGACAATCCGGCGGATCTCCAGGGTAACCTTGTCCAGCTCCCGGGACGTGGCACAGAAGAAAGTATCGGCCATGATAGAAGCAACCGCCGCTTTGAGCGAGACGGGCCCCTCGGCGGGAACGACCTCGAGAGAGTCTGAAACTATCGTGGGATCGAGGAGGAGCCGCGCACGGTGTCGCCGATCTCGTTCAAGCCACGTCGCTCGGAAGAGAGCGAGCATGGCGTCGTCAACTTGGGACAGGCCGCTTATGCCACAGGCCGCCTCAAAGCATTCCGAGGAGCAGAATACGGGTTGCACGGGTTTGCCCGTGGTTCCATGAGTTTTGAGGTTGTCGTTCAACAGAAAGCTGCACGAGGGACTCGTGCGAAAGTCGAGCAGGGCGTTGACTGTGGAAAGCTGGGAGCACGAACAGCCTTGGAACGCACATCCAGGCCGGACCATCTCACAGCAGCGAACGTGGCCGAGAAGGCGGTGCAGGCTGCTGGAAGGCTCGAGCATGAATGGCCATGGAGAGGAGGGTAAGCAGGAGCAGGTGCAGGATGAGTCAGGATGAGCGGGATAGGAAGCCTGTGGGGGGATGCGTTTACTCAGGCAAGCTGATTTCGTGGTATGCGAGCGTGATAGGCTGAGCGTCCTGCAGACGTCAGTGTAGCCGTTTGGGACACATGTGAGGAGGAGGAGGAGGAGGAGGAAAAAGAAGAGGAGGAGGAGGAGGAGAAAGAGGAGGACGAGCAGGAGCAGGAAAAGGAGGAGGAGGAGAAAGAGGGGGAGGAGGACGAAGAGAGGAGGGAAAAGAAGGAGGATGAGGCAAAGGGAGGAGGCGGAGGAGGAGGAGGAAGAGGAGCAGGTGATGTCTGCGCGGCCGTTTGGGACGCTTGTGAGGAGGAGGAGCAGGAGGAGGAGGAGGAGGAGGAGGAGGAGGAGGAGGAACAGGAGGAGGAGGAGGAGGAGGAGGAGGAGGAGGTGGTAAAGGAGGTGGAGGAGGGGGAGGAGAAAGAGGAGAAGAGGAGGAGAAGTAGGAGGAGGAGGAGGGGGAGAAGGAGGAGGAGAGGGAGGAGAAGGGGGAAAAGGATGAAGGAGGAGGAGGAAGTGGAGGAGGAGGAGGAGGAGGAACGAGTCGAGGAGGACGAAGAGGAGGAGCAGGAGCACGAGCAGTTGCAGCAGGAGGAGGAGGAGGAGGAGGAGGAGGAGGAGGAGGAAAGGAGGACGAGGAGCAGGAGAAGAGGAGGAGAAGGTGGAGGGGGAGAGGGAGGAGGAGGAGGAGGAGGAGGAGGAGGAGAAGGAGGAGGAGGAGGAGGAGGAGGAGGAGGAGGAGGAGAAAGAGGGGGAGGAGAAGGAGCAGGAGGTGGAAAAGGGTGGAGCAGGAGAAGGCGGTGTAGGAGGAGGAGGAAATGGAGGAGGAGGAGGAACGGGAGCAGGAGGAGGACGAGGAGAAGGAGGAGAAGGTGGAGGAGGAGGAGGAAGATAGCTCGGTGTTGTTGAAGCTGAGCGTGGGGCCTGGGAACTCGAGGCCCTGGAGTTCCGGGCGCGTACGGAGGTGGTCGATCAGGCGAACGCCGAGGTCCTGGCCCTGGGCAGAGCTCCATGTTGCAGGGAATTCCACGGCCGGGTAGGCGAGGCGGAGGTAGGAGTAGCAACTGGGACCCACGGTTCGCATCTGAGAGGCGTCGCAAATCACGTCAGGACAGTCGAGACACATCTGCCAGGCGTGGAAGTGGCTCGTCCCGCCGATGGACATGAAGAAATGCCAGAGACGGTCGGTCGTAGTCATGCTTGGCCACTGGCGGGCCGCGGTCTCCGTCATACTGAATGTGACGGGGGTGCCGGGCTTCTTCTCGGAGGTCTTCAGGAGTACGCGCGCAGTCTGTGCCAGGTCGTCGGGAGCCCCGTCGAGGAACCCTCGCGGCAGAGAGTGCAGGAGGTCCCGGACGGCGATGATGCGCATGCGGAGCTCGATCTTGCTCTCACCGTGGAGGATGCCGTCACCGAGGCTAGTGTTGTCGAGCAGGTGGTCCAAGGCGTCTGGGTCGATGGTGTAGCCACGATCGTACTTGAGTCTGTGAGGGCCTTCCAGCAGGGCGCACACGGCGTCTAAAGAGTACGTCTTGCGGCCGATGTACACGAGCCAAAGATACTCAGGCCAACTTTTGGCTGCAGAGACAATCCGGCGGATCTCCAGGGTAACCTTGTCCAGCTCCCGGGACGTGGCACAGAAGAAAGTATCGGCCATGATAGAAGCAACCGCCGCTTTGAGCGAGACGGGCCCCTCGGCGGGAACGACCTCGAGAGAGTCTGAAACTATCGTGGGATCGAGGAGGAGCCGCGCACGGTGTCGCCGATCTCGTTCAAGCCACGTCGCTCGGAAGAGAGCGAGCATGGCGTCGTCAACTTGGGACAGGCCGCTTATGCCACAGGCCGCCTCAAAGCATTCCGAGGAGCAGAATACGGGTTGCACGGGTTTGCCCGTGGTTCCATGAGTTTTGAGGTTGTCGTTCAACAGAAAGCTGCACGAGGGACTCGTGCGAAAGTCGAGCAGGGCGTTGACTGTGGAAAGCTGGGAGCACGAACAGCCTTGGAACGCACATCCAGGCCGGACCATCTCACAGCAGCGAACGTGGCCGAGAAGGCGGTGCAGGCTGCTGGAAGGCTCGAGCATGAATGGCCATGGAGAGGAGGGTAAGCAGGAGCAGGTGCAGGATGAGTCAGGATGAGCGGGATAGGAAGCCTGTGGGGGGATGCGTTTACTCAGGCAAGCTGATTTCGTGGTATGCGAGCGTGATAGGCTGAGCGTCCTGCAGACGTCAGTGTAGCCGTTTGGGACACATGTGAGGAGGAGGAGGAGGAGGAGGAAAAAGAAGAGGAGGAGGAGGAGGAGAAAGAGGAGGACGAGCAGGAGCAGGAAAAGGAGGAGGAGGAGAAAGAGGGGGAGGAGGACGAAGAGAGGAGGGAAAAAAAGGAGGATGAGGCAAAGGGAGGAGGCGGAGGAGGAGGAGGAAGAGGAGCAGGTGATGTCTGCGCGGCCGTTTGGGACGCTTGTGAGGAGGAGGAGCAGGAGGAGGAGGAGGAGGAGGAGGAGGAGGAGGAGGAAGAACAGGAGGAGGAGGAGGAGGAGGAGGAGGAGGAGGTGGTAAAGGAGGTGGAGGAGGGGGAGGAGAAAGAGGAGAAGAGGAGGAGAAGTAGGAGGAGGAGGAGGGGGAGAAGGAGGAGGAGAGGGAGGAGAAGGGGGAAAAGGATGAAGGAGGAGGAGGAAGTGGAGGAGGAGGAGGAGGAGGAACGAGTCGAGGAGGACGAAGAGGAGGAGCAGGAGCACGAGCAGTTGCAGCAGGAGGAGGAGGAGGAGGAGGAGGAGGAGGAGGAGGAAAGGAGGACGAGGAGCAGGAGAAGAGGAGGAGAAGGTGGAGGGGGAGAGGGAGGAGGAGGAGGAGGAGGAGGAGGAGGAGGAGGAGGAGGAGAAGGAGGAGGAGGAGGAGGAGGAGGAGGAGAAAGAGGGGGAGGAGAAGGAGCAGGAGGTGGAAAAGGGTGGAGCAGGAGAAGGCGGTGTAGGAGGAGGAGGAAATGGAGGAGGAGGAGGAACGGGAGCAGGAGGAGGACGAGGAGAAGGAGGAGAAGGAGGAGAAGGTGGAGGAGGAGGAGGAAGATAGGAGGAGGAGGAGGAAAAGAGGAGGACGAGGAGGAAAAGAGGAGGAGGAGGAAGCGGAGGAGAAGGAGGAGAAGGAGGAGGCAGCAGCGTCGTGGGGAGGGTGTTGTCTGGAAGGTGGAGGCCTAAAGGCAAACCTTTTGGACGCCTTTCTGGCGCCCTGTGCAGTTGGCTGGGGGCCTTGTGTGACCTTCGTGGAGCCTTGAAGGCGTGGTCGCTCTTTGGGGCGTCGCGTGGATTTGGTCGAAGCCTTTTTTTGGAGTGTAGTGGCCAGGGAGAAGCGTTGAGCAATGTAGGGGCCGTCTGGGTTGTGTGGGCAGAGGCTCGGGAACCCGGGAAAAGCGTCGAACCATGTATCGGGGGGCACGGGGATGGCCGTCCGAAGGGTGGCTGGGACTCGTCAGTCAGAGCCGTCGTACACCGTATTCAAGCCGTCGGGGGGGCGTCCTGAGCCGTTTGGGGTGTTTTGGCAAGGAGTCGGCGACTAAGAAGGAGCGGCGAAAAAGGTATCGGGAGCCGTCTGGGCGTCTGGGCGTGTCAGGGAAGAGTGGCGGCGATGGCCATCCGGGGTTCGAAAGGCTGGGTTGGACCGGGGGAAAAGGTATCTGGGGGGGGGGGGGGGGCCATCCGGGGGGTTTTTTTCCTTACAGGATGTATAATTATAGGAATATGTATTTGTATATGTATATGCATGTGTATGTGTATGTGTATGTGTGTATCTATATATATATATATATATATAATAGAACCATCGCGCGCTTCGCGCGAGTCCTATATATATACATACATGCATACATACATACACACATACATACTATAACCATGGCGCGCGCTTCGCGCGAGCTCAGGTTCTAGCCCAGGCTGCGGGTCGCGCTTGGACAGCGCTATCAAGCGCAGGCGCGTGACATAATCGTGCCTCCTGAGGGCCTTTAGGGGGCCTCTTGGGTCTTCGTGGGGATCTGGAGGGCTTGTGGGGGGTTCTCCGCGCTGCCTCAAATTTGCCGTTGGAGGCGCCTCTCGGGCGCTTTTCGGGGGGGCGTCTCGGGGCTTCTCGGGGCCCCAGTGAATTGGCCGTCTTGGCTGCGTGGAGGCCCGCCTTGAGGCCGCGTTGAAGCTATCCGGAAGCCCCCCCGGCCTCCTGAATCAATTTTCATACATCGAGAGCACTGTTCGGCAATGTTGGGGCCCCGCGCACGTCTCCTGGGAGCCTTTTGGGGCCCGGCGGAGGGCTTTTCTGGGGGCCTCGTCGGGCCGCCCGGGGGGCTCTTGGGGCCTCCTGCGGGCCTCTTAAAGCAGAAGGCTCCGCTGTTTGGTTCGCGCCCCCTTCTTGGGGCTCTCTCGGGGCCCTCCTGGGGCCCTCTCGGGCCGTCTTGGGCGCCTCGGGCTCCGTCTTGGGGCCCTCGCGAGGCCCTCTCGGAAGCCTCTTCGGCTACCTTGGAACGGTCTTGGGGGGGCGCCTGGGCCGTCTTGGAGCGTCGGGGTGCCAAGGGGCCGGGAACTCTGCAATCCATCAAAAGCCGATAGGAAAAGAATGGGCCGCGCCTTTCTGGGCATCTTGGGAGACGACGACGACGTCGACGACGAGTGGCGCGTCAAATCACCTTCTATGCAAAACGCAATCGCTTTGAAGCTGCCGCTCAGGGGGGCGCGCGACCCCCTCGGCGGCGCCCGCGACGACCCCCTGGCGCGCGCGATTGCGAAAAAAATGCGTCGCGCCCCGCGGGGTCCACGCATCAGCCCTGGGGCGGGCGGGCGGGCGCGGGCGGGCGGCGGGGGCGCGCGGGGGGGGGGGGGGCGGGACATTTCCCAATCGCAGGCTTATGCTACAATGCCAAAGGTTGGGCCATGCTACGCCGTGCTGACACGGCATGCGTCAGGCCGCAATGAATTCCGTTGCGCCCTATAGCATTGTGAATCAAGTCGCCGTTGACATCCTAATCCTGATCGAACTGATCACGGTCTGAAGCTCGCGCTCGGTCGCGCGCCCGCCCCCGTCCGCCGCCCCGCCCCCCCCCCCCGCCCCCCCCCCCCCCCCCCCCCCCCACGCTCTCTGCCCGCCCGGGGCGATTGACTGACTGCGGCCGTGCGCCCCTTGCGAGCGCGTAGGCAACATCAAACATATAAAAAGAGCAGCGCGCCCATGCAATCATGCGTGCACTGATGGCGCGGCGCAAACACAAGCTGCCCATTGTTGTCGGGGGCGCCCCAAGCGCCGGCGGCTCGCCCAGTCTCTGGGAGCGCCGTCGCCGTCGCGCGCAAGTCTCCTCGCAAGCGACCTGTCGGTCTCAGAACCAACCTTCCTGTAGAGCATCACTTGGCGTTCACGCAATATCGAAGATCACGGTTTCGACTCTGTGTTTGCCAGCGCCGTCTCGCTGCTGACGCGCGACGTGCAAGGGCGGAGAATCTGCAAAATTCGGCGCAGACATGTGCAATGGAATACGTCGAGCTTGCCCGCGTCATGCTTCAGGGGCCACGGCGCGCCCAATGAGCACAGCAGCTTGCTGAGCACACAGCAACTATAAATGAACACTTTGCGCCGCCACCCAACGGCAGAATGCGCCCACAATTCAGATAGCCGCTGAAATGCCCCCCCCCCCCCCCCCCCCCCCCCGGCCTCTCCCAAGCGCCTGGATAATTCGCTGCCCGCTCGTCCATCATGAGTGGCAAGGCCCCCCTTATATATATATATATGTATATATATATATATATGTGTATATATATATTCCTACAAACATACATACATACATACAGCTTCACGCGCGACTTTGATTGGGTTTCCGTCCGGCTTCCTAACCAAACCTGTAGATCCAATTTGGATTAGCGCTGTCTTGTCACAGTCTTGTCACAGTTCAGTTCCAATCCGTATTTCTGTCCTTCCAACACGATGGCGTCCAACATGCGCTGTAGATTCCCGCCGCGTTGTGACGCGAGTGAAATATCGTCGGCGTATCGGATCTCCCTGGTGACCACGTAGCCTGGATCTTGCAGAAGGCGTAGGTCGGAGAAAACGTCGTGGAACATTACCGTTTGCACAATAATAAACAAGTCCGGGAATAAAGGACATCCCTGGGCGACGCCCGCCGCTTGTCGTCGTCGTGAAGACGCGCCGCAGTGGCCATGTCAAGGATGGCGCAACAACGACGCGAATGAATCCCATTGATCATTGGCACGAAAAGACGCGGCATCCCAAACCGAGACAAAGCATCGCGCAGACAACCTGGCACTAGACGGTCAAATGCCTTTGCCCAGTCCAATAGAAGCAAAACAATACCGCCACTGTTGTTCAAGAGCGCTGCGTCGATCATGCGTCTCACCAACATGAGCGCATCAGCGGTCCCCGGCGAGGTCTGAATCCGAATTGTGAGTCTCGTAATCCATCTTCCGCGCCACCTTGAAGCGATCGCTGGTGTAGCATAGCCGCCAGAGCGTTGTACCCCACCGAGGGCAGCGGAATCGGACGATAATTGCTCGGTAGAGTCGCGTCTCCTTGTCTGAACAGTGGAACCACGTTTGCCATTCTCCATGTTTCTGGTATGTTTTCTTTCGTCCAGCATCTTTCGCATACTTCCAGGAATGCTTGACATGCGTGTTCATCCTTAGACACAACTTTCCAAACATCCGGAGGCACATCATCCGGCCCAGATGTTTTGCCCGCCTTCATCCTCTCCATAACGTAAAGCAGCCCACTCGTAGAAAACTGTCGGACGTCGACGGGGAGCTCTGGTCCAAGAGGGCGCGTAGCTGCGGGAACCGCCTCTGGGAACGTGGTTTTCCACTGAACCTTTTTTTCGAAGTAGTCGGCCAAAACTTCAGGGCGATGTGCGGCATCGGTAAAACATGTTACTCATATATATATATATGACTCCAGCGTGTTTGGTTTGAGCCGTCTTCCTCAATTGCTTGACTGCGCCCCAGCTTCCACCAATGAGCGTATCGTTTATCTACTTTGTGCGGTCTGCCCGCGCAGCCTTCCCGATAGCCTTATTAAGCGCGTTCTCGTTACAAACATCGCCCATTCGCCTGTGCACGTTTCTCTGTTCGATAAAATCCCAAGTTGCCTGAGAAATCCAAGGCCGGCAGGTTGCGGCCTGTGTCGCAGAGTATCTGTCGCAGCGTCAAAAGCAGTTTCGACGTCCACCGCAGCTTCGTCAAGAGACAAATTTGCAGTGCTTCCTCCCACTTACTGCGACAGCGGTTCGTGAAATCGACCTGCAAGGCTGGCTCCCGCACCGAAGCCTTGTCCACATGAATCTGCATATGAACGGGTGTCGTCTGAAATTGCATCCCAAGTTCCACCGTCATCAAGTAATGGTGGCTGTTCAATGCCTCGGCCCGGTGCGTGCTGCAAAGCTTCACACAGGGAAGAAGAGAGGCATGACATAGCACATGATCGATCTGAACGAATTTTGTCGGCGAGATGTCGCTGTCCATGGGGGCCACACCAAGATTTCTGTACGCGACCTGCTGTTCACGAGGGATGTCGAAAAACGTATTTGCAAAGGCATTGTCCGTAGCGACACAATGTTCAAGTAGAAGTTGCCAGTTTGATATTTGTTTCCGATGTACACAACTCTGAACAACATCATAGCTATTGAAAAACATGCGTACCTATATATTCTGCTTCGCCGGGATGTTGTTGCAATAGCTTCGCGTTGAAGTCGCCAAACATAAACGTACTGCAATGCTGTGTAGTCGGCCGTACTGTGTCCAATAGGTCAGCGAAGGAGGCTTGGCGGACTTCGTAGTCGTACCCGCTCTGCGGGGCGTAAGCGGATACGTAAGCGTCAGGCGTCTTACCCGCGTTCAGCGTTTCAGCCACCCCCGGCCCCCTGGCTCTTGGCCGTGGCGGCGACGGGAATTGCGTACGTCGGCGTCTCTTTGTCATCACCATCGCCACTTCCAGGAAACGTGTAGAAAACTCGGGGTGCCACGCGCCGGATACACATGCGAAGGACCTTGGCACTTGGCTGCGCAAAGGCCGAGTGCCGGGTACATGCCTGCGGACGCATGTCCAATCAACCTTCGCCCGAGCTGGCCAAACCATGTGCAGCCCGCTTTCAGAGGGGCGAACAGGTAGCGATACCGCTACTCCCAGGACCTCACCAGGGCTACATCCTGCCCAGAGTTTCGAGGATGGTTCAGCGAGGGCTCTCCATGACGAGCAGCGGTATCGCTACCCGTTCTTCCTTCGTGGCATCACCGTCATCATCAGCAGCGGCGGCGGCACGGGGCTCACCCAGGCGCGGACGCGCGTGCCGGGCACGTACTCGACCGGCCCGGGGCCAGGCAGCGTCACGTTGAGCCAGTTGTCCTTCCCGAGCGGCAGGCCTGTGGGGCCCGAGCGCGCGAGCTCCCCGGCCCACTTCGGATGGTGGTGTCGGGGCGGCGGTCCTGCCCGAGAAAGACGCGAAACACGCTCGCGTGGCTGCTCGAACCGCTGCTAGTCCCACCAGCCCTCTGGGCGTCGGTGGTCTAGAGAGCTGTCTCTTCCAACCCCCTTCTTCCCCTTCGGGGAAGGGTTTATCACTGCTCCCTATCAAAAAAAAAAAAACACCCCCTCCCCCACCCGACCGGCAGCCAACCCGGAACCATGCGCACACCATGAGGTCCCCTCCCCACCATCCCTGTCAAAAAACCTATACAACACGCACTCTGCGAGCAAATTCGGAGCATGCGTAACCGATCCGATGCGCCCCCCCCCCCGCCGCCCCTTTCAAAAAACAATACACAATACACTTCGGGGCAAAGTCTGGAGACATGTTCGTGAGGCCCGCGCGCACTTTGTATGGTTTTTCGACAAGGCAAGGACGGCGGGGGTGTCAGCATATTGCCTGCTGCGCGCCGGGCTACCATCCCTGCCAAACACAATACAACATGCACCATAAGCACATGAACTCCAACGTCGAACAGAGAGCTGCTAATGAAATTGTGTACCTCAACGACAACTTATACCGCTAACACATTTTTGGAAGCTGACACTGAAGCCAAAGTAAAAAATCATGATATTGGTACGTCTCCGATAGACCCAATATTACCAGGCAAATTTGAACAGCTTGACCACGTCCTCGTCGATTTCAAGTGGCTGCAGAATATTCAGAACATTTGGAGCGACCGTCGCAAAGCTTTACAATCACACCACTTGTTATGCATGATTGATCTAAACATAAATATCCCCAAAATACCTCGGAGACCAGGGCCACCGCGATACGATTGGATGTCTTTACGCAAGTAAGCAAGTGGGAGAAGAAAGTACCAAGCACTTGCCTACAAGATAAGGCTGCGAATGTCGCGTCCTGCATGCTCGAATCGGCTGCTGAAAGCGTGCCGCTTCTGCCGGACACGCCGCACAGACCATGGACATCTTCACAGACACTTCACTTGATAGACCAGAGGAGCAAATTTAGAGACATGGCTGTTCAAGCTGATGTGAAGGCGCTGAACAAACAAGTGCAAGTTTCCGCGCGTGCGGATAAGAGGAACTGGTTGGAGAACGCGGTCCAAAAAGGAGGCTGGAAAACGATACGCTCTCTAAGGACACAGCCGCCGTTACGACAAGGAAGTCTGCGAGACAAACATGGCGTTTCGGTGGATTCCGAACAGAAATCAAAAAATATGGCAGACGATTTGGAAGATATTCAATGGAAGCCATATGACGGCCCCGAGGCTCTACCTGACGTGGAACGCAATGCGGCCCCTCTCCACATAAATGTTGGAAGTATTACGATCGAAGGGGTACGGCGAGCAATCAAAGCGTTAAAACGCAAAAGGCAGCAGGGAACGGTGAGGTACCACCATATTCATGGCAGATTCTGTGGTCCACTGACACGGCTTGGGAAATACTATGGGAACTATGTGATGCATGTTGGCAACAAAAGGCAATACCAGAAGACTGGCGAGAGGCATCCATTGTCACCATCTTCAAAAAGGGGGACACATCACAACCGAACAACTACAGGCCAATTTCATTATTAGCCGTAGGTTACAGCGCACTCGCGAGCATAATCTTGCAGAGGCTCAAAACAGGTGGCGTGGAACAGCGTTTACGAGAATCACAATACGGTTTCACACCGGCCCGCGGCACCGCTGACGCACTGCTTCTGGCACGGCACCTTATTGATGCAGCTATGGAAGATAAATATGGGAAAATTCTTGTATTACTTTTAGACTGGGCCGAAGCATTCGACCGCATCAAGCCGGATGGACTACTCCACGCTTTGCGACAATTTGGTCTACATCCAGATATGCTCAGTATGATCAAGGGAATTTGCACAGCACGCAAGTTCACCGTGAAAAGTGGGGAAGGGAAGTCGTCCCAGCGATGCCAGAACGGATTGCACGAGGGTGTCCTTTGTCACCGTACTCGCTTGTCATCGTAATGTCCATTCTTCTGCAAACTGTGGACGCCAAGCTATACAAGAACAGCCCCACGAATCAACAAACCGTACGTCATAACGGAGGACATGCTCTATGCCCACGACACCTTGTTAATAGCAGGGAACCAAAACAAAACTTACGCGGCGCCTTGGCGAGGCGAAGAACGCATTTGAAAAGTTAAGCGCTGTGTGTGACCCTGCGAATCTGTACCGCCGGCGAAAAACGATGATATTGGACACGTGCATATGTGCGGAACTACTTGACGGGCTAGAATGTTGCATGCTCGCCGCTGACAGGGACAGGTTCAATGGTTTCCAAACGGTGTGCAATGACAACAAGTAAGGGCCACAAGTGGAACGGCGCGGGTGTCTTCAACATTGTTGCAGCGGCAACTTGTCTATTATGGGAAAGTGGTTCGTGATCGGCCTGGCGCACTTCCCAGGCAAGTGGTTTTTGAAGAAGGGCAAGCATGCAGGTTCTTGCCAAGAAGATGGGACATATCACGGGAGCAAGGACGACCCCGCCTGCAGCGTACGCACTACATGCACGCGTGTGCTCTGAGTCTAGCAGGAGATTGTCCAGATAGCCTGCAGAGCCTACTGCGTGGCCCTCCCGCATCTTGTGGAGCTGCAGTTGCACGGTGTTGCAAATAATTATGTGCAGTGAGTGTGGTCATCCTCTTGTCCTGGTCCTCCTTTTCCCTCCCTCCTCTCCCTCCTGCCCCACTTCTTGCATAGTATCGCGCTGATGTACTGCCTACCGCCGCCCACCGCTGCTCAATTCAATGGCCGTGTTCCGGCGCGCATGCACTTAGCTTGCATATGTTCATACTTATCGTGGCCTCCTATCTGATACGATTGTCTGCCGATGCGCCGTCTAGGTGCGGTTTCTTCCAGTCCGCTCCAGTCCGACGGGGGCCGTAATTGGAGCTCCCGTGTTTTTTGAAGGATCTCCTCCACGATGGCTCCGGGAACAATTCCAAGGCTCCCAAGAGCGCCTCGAGAGGGCCCCAAAAAGCGCCCAGGAGGCCCCAAGAGGCGCCCACGAGGCCTCCAGGAGGCCCCCAAGAGACCTCAAGAGGCCCCAAGATGCTCCCCGAAACATCAAGAAAACCCCGGGACTGCCAGGAGGCCCCCAAGAGCGCTCCAAAATGGGCCCTTCCTCTGTGTGCTGCCAACTTCCCTGGTCGAGGCAACTTCTCTGGGCCTCGCCTCTGGATGGCCTGGTGGGGTTACTTTTTCGTTCGCGAGCGCAAGCGGTAGAGCCGCGCGCCGTCGCAAGGGTCGAGCAAACCTAAAGACAGCGGCCGAAGACAGAAGCGGCGAGCAAACAGCACGCTCAGAAGCCGAACAAATCGAAGAGGAATAAAAACGGGGTCCACGTGCGGAGGGGACCTCAGCAAACTTGTCCTCGAAGAACTTATCCCAGCATTATTCGCCCCGACGTGTTTGTCCTCGCCAAACCACTCAACGATCAGGACCGACCGTGACACACCGACGCTGTCGTCAGTACGGGTCTTGTACATCTACCACGTAGCCAGCAACACGAAAGAGGCACTGACTCCGAGCAATCAGCCGTCCACTCAATCAACGGCCTGGTGGGGTTACGTGAAGCGCCAAAAATTAACTAAGCATCCAGATCAGCGGCGTGCAGACCATAGTAGAGGAAGAACAAACGGCACCACCATAAACAGTCGGAGTTCTGCGCGGATGTCCTGAAACGGCGCTGGGTCCGCTCCCTGGCGCGCGGAACGCGTCAGTGGCGTCGCCGGAGGTGCTGCCAAGGGGACCCAATGCCGATCCAGGAAATCCGCGGGGAGCTGCGAAAGTCTTGTCTCTACCTGTTCAGCCGACCGAGGCACCAGGGTGACCCTCAAGGGCAGCTGGAAGCGCTCACCCCAAAAGGGGCGATGCGCACGCTAAGCGAAAACATGGGGACTGGCCCTGAGCGGTGAGCTTTCGCGTAGCCCCGGTCTGTCGCGCGAGTGTACCCTCCAATTCTGCCTCGCAGGGTGGACGGCCGCATGGCCAGCCGACTCTGCGAGACCCTGGGCGCCGTCCAGCAGTTGCTAGTCGATGCATGGAGGGCGCGTCGTGAGTGACCCTGGGTGTCTGCGGAAGGAGCCACGGATCACCGCCATGGACCGGCGCCAGGTGCAGCTAGGCTGCGAGAATTGATACGGGCAAACATTACCCTGAGGTATGCCGCGCGGCTCTCGCGACCTCCCTCGCATTTTCGATCGACTTGGTGACGCTTCCGAAAGGTGTGGCACTTGTGGCATGGCCCTCCAGGGTGAAGCTGGTTTGGATGGGCAGGAAAGGCCATGGAATCTGACCAGGCGACCTCGCCCGATCGATCGAGATCACCACTGGGGATGGCAGATGCTGCGCCAAAACCGACAGTGAAACAACACAATTAACCACTACCCTCCTTTCTTTTGCAACCTGCTGGCACGGGCCTTTTTACTCGCAAGCGGGAAGGGCTTCTGGTGATGGACCGAGCGAGGCCATGCTGCCCCAGACCCACGCTTTCAATTTCTGCATCCAACGATTGCGCATGATGACGAATCAAAGCACGGCCATTCACAAGCAAGCAAGCAGGCAAGCAAGAGACTGCGTGCACAAAACGTTTTTTTTTTTTGTTGGACCCCGTGGGGCCGAACCATGTTTGTTAAAGCCTACGTGCTTGAGGAGGCAGCTGCCCTAGCAGCTTCCTCTCTGGCCAGCACGCGCTGGCTGATCGCTCGCATCCCGTCCGTCTGGATGAGGCCTGTCATCGCAGGCTGGCGCGGCGTGACCTCCTCGGGCGGTGGCAACGCGGCAGCGTAACACAGATTGGCAACTCCTCTCCGAGAAATTGTCGAAACCTCAGCCTGAACATTGGCTTGAGGAAAAAGACCGTCGTAAATACGTCGTAGACTCGTGGCACCTCCAGCAAGCTTTCGTTGCTGGCAC